TTCTCTTCTTGATTTGTCTCCCTTCATATTCTGAAGCTTTGGCTTTATCTTCCACGGCTGTCTTTATAACTTTTGCTTCTGTGGTTGCCAATTTGTTGTCTGGGAACATGTACAGACCAAGCCATAGACTAAGACTAATTTGAATTCAGCAGTACAGATGCAACATCGGGCTAAAGAAACTTAGAGTATGTGTAAGAAGAGTCAGAGCAGCTGCTCTCTGTGGCTGGAAGAATGGGCCTTCACCCCACCTCCTGCAGGTGCAGCTGAGATTCAGTTTGGACTCTGAAGCTGACGCAGCCTTACCGCGTGGCAGGTGATCCCTCTAGGCAGTAGGAGTGGCAACACTCCCACTTTCCTCCTTAGTCCTAAACCTTTCTCTCCCTGACATTTCTCCTCTTAGAAACAAGGCTTGACTCCAGCCCTGCCCCCTTCCCTTACTGCCCCAAGGAGCAGATAGAGATTGCTGAAGGGCAAGGAAGATATAGGAGGATATGGTGAGGGTAGGGATAGTCAGTGTCTTGGGGGAAGTGAGCTACTGGATAGTAATGAAACTGTCTCAGACAAAATTCTGTTTGACGGCAGAAAGGAATATGATATCACCTTGTCTTACCTGTAATGTTCATGTCATTAATTTCTACTTGGTCATTGTTACGAAAAGCTTGCTAACTTGAACCATGTAAAAGGATGTCAGGTCTCAAGGTGCCCAAGGGAGATGGGGAGAATGAACAAGAAAAGAAGAAAAGAGGAAAGAGAAATTGCTCTTACACACAGCCTTGTGAAGTTTAATGATTCCTCCTCCTCCCCCTTTATTCACCTTTAGTTGCTATATCTATGCCTTTTTTACAGGGATGAATCTGACACCTCACTATTCTCCCTTAGGACCTCTTATCAGATCCACAACACTGGAATTTTACCTGTGTGACTAAGAAGACACCTTCCACTGTAAGGATTTCCTTGTCTCTAAGGTGCCACAAATAGAAGTTCATTGTTTGCCTGCACTGATTTTAGACTGTGGGTTGCTATTGCTAGCATTTAGAAAAATTAGGAAAGTGCTGTCTGAGTTGAAAAAAATCAAAGCTTATAATTAGTTTGGTATCTCTTTTTTCCAGGAGTAGCCTGCAATTGTGGTTACTTGGTCACAGGAGGGTTAAGACTGTATAGTATTAATGTCTTTATCTTGTGATGTTTAAGAGTATAAAGTGATATAAAGGGAGGCCAGGTACAAATGATAGCCCATTGATATTCACATATAATAAAATAGAGACAAAGTATAAATTATGAGACTGGGACTGAAAACATGTACCATGAAGCTACCTATGTATTATCTCACCATTGCTCCTGACTATCCTAGGAATTTGCTGTTCACAAAGTGATTAAGCACTACTTGAGATTTACAGAGATAAATCTTTGGCTCCAAGAGCATGAAAAGTGATGAATGACACTGAGAGCTTTGTGGTCTAACCATGGGAGAATCAAGGTTGAAGAAATTTGTGGGACTCATTCTCACATGTGGCCAACTCTCATTGAGTGAGAGAAAAGCTAAGCTGGCTGAATGGCTTATACTACTTCTATATTAGCAAGGTTTGGATTCATGATTCAAATGAAATTAATCAGAGCATTGCGAATTCTCCACCCTTGCAGATATGCAACATCTGACTGGGAAAGGCCCTGAGCAACCTGGTATATATCAGAAGCTAGGACCCGATGACTATCAGCTGCCCATTCCAACTGAAGTTACTCACTGACTCTGTGAACTTCAGGAGTTTTGCAAGTAACTGACTTTTTTCAACTGAACAATATTACTTGCATTTTTATGTAAGTAATTAGAAGAATTAGGACTGGAATAAATAGTAGGGCCCTAGGGTCAAATTCTGTCATCTCTATGGAAATTCATTGCATGAATTACCTTCCCATCGTAAGACTGCAGGCAAACAAACAAGTGTGGTCTTGTATCTGCAAAACTTACTGATTCCTTGAATTAGTTGTGCCTCTACATGTGTGAAATTACAAACGTTCATGGAGCGTGGTGGTAAATCAGTAAAAGCCTCTTATGACAGGTCCTAAAGCTGTAAGCCTGAGCCTTCTTCCATACTACTGCTGAAAGACATACTGAGGGTAAAAGAAAGGGTAATCCATCTGTACTTTGTGATGCAGCAGAGAGCCAAAGTCTCTGGGACGTGGTTCCAATTAATTTGATTGTTTGGAGATGGAGAGAAAAAGTTGTAGCCTTCTCTGTTGGCATAAAGGAGAGGACTTCTTCCTTGTAGGGTGATGGAGGTCTGTTATCTGCCACCCAACCTGGGGCTATATCCAGACTTGTCCTTAAGAAGCCTGTTCTTTAGGTCAGACCTGCTGTTACAGAAGCTACAGTGCCTCAGGTGTGGAAGCTGTTGAAGTCTTTAGCTGTTAGACAAATATTTATCTGCCTGAGATTTGAGGACGCCAGCATCCATTCATTAGTGAGTTGGTGATTTGCCAACTCCCAGAACAGTTTCAAAGCTTTCAGTCTCTGAAAACAAAGGACTGAGAAAACATGAGGCTGGTTTGGTTTGGTATTTTTCATTTGTGTACTAGAGATGGATGGACTGCACAGCTGGTTAAGCAGGTGACTGCTGAGGAGGAGATAGGACTACTCATTTTGTGCTGATGGGAGAAGTCAGCAGAAATCACGAAGCAGCACTGAATCTGTCTGTCTACATACAGGAGCAGATATATTTCTTTGTATCTTCCAATTGTGAAGAAGTAGGTTTTAATTGATAAGAACTACAACAACCAAGAGATAGTGCAGTTTTAGAACAAAGCTACTGAAAATTAAGTGTCCCGATGATTTTAGGTGCCCTATTTCCATGACCACAGCAACAGAAAGTCCAGGGCAAAAGTAAACATGTTAGCTCTCCTGTGATAAATTTTCCCATTTGACATCTGACCAGCAATCGACAAATATACAGGAAAGTGAAGGAAATTATTTGAACTATTTGTACACCAATGAAGGTAGTATCATGTTATATTCTTTCTTTCGCAAGATCATATTTGCTACCAGCAAGCTATGCTCCCAAAGTCCTGCCAAAATATGTGTCATCTTGGAACTAAAATAAGTAGAACCTTCCATCAGACCACCTAGCACTAGTACTGTGCTGTGCATACTGGAGTCAGGAAATAACACAGCTTTCTTACAGTAACTTAATCCCTAAAAACCTTTCACTCTTCTGGTACTTCTCTGTGACAGTTCTCACAGATCTGTTTCCTTTCTTGCTCCGGTGACAAAGGGAAGAATAATTTGTTAGAGAGAAACTACAACTTGCCATAACCATTGCTTCTCTTAGCCTGATTATTCTCTTCAGTTACAAAGTAAGAACCTATAAAGCTTTATAAACACCACAAAGATAGTTAGAAAATTCCTTCCCATTTCCCAGTCACATGTGTTCCCTAAGGCAGTGCTGTGTCTCAGAAGGATGTAGATTCTGCACGTATGCAGCTGCCTTCCAAAGTGCTTATCACCTCTTGTTTCAGAGAGACTGAATGAATCATGGTTTGTGCTGGAAGTGTTATATCTGACTAGTTTGGATTGAATGCATGAGGTTATATGGGTCCTGATATGGTCCAGTTATACGGATCCCTTCCTGGCAGAAAAGTTGGTCTCAACATTGTGTCTTCACCAAGATTTAGGACAGATTCTCATTCCTCATCTCTCTCTGAAGCAATGAGCCAACTCTGACAAAAGTCATAGAATAAGTCAAGTTGAAAGGGACCCATACAGATTATCAAGCTCAACTCCCTGATCCTCGTAGAACTATCTAAAATTAAACCTTATGATTAAGAGCGTTGTCCAGACATCCCTTGAACTCTGACAGCCTTGGTGCCATGACCCCCTCCCTGGGGACCCTGTTCCAGTGACTCACCACTGTCTCAGGGAAGAACCTTTTCCTAATGTCCAATCTGAGCTTTCCCTGACTCAGTTTCATTCCAGAACAATCAGCTACTGGAACAACCTCCCCAGGGAAGTAGTGAATTCCCCAGCAATGGACACTTTTAAGGTTCAGCTGGGCAGCGTGCTGGGGCATTTTGTCTAGACTTTGCTTTTGCCAAGAAAGGTTGGACCAGATGATCCTTGAGGTCCCTTCCAAGCTGCTATTCTGTGATTCCATGATCTCCTTGTGTCCTCTCAGTGGTGACCAGAGAGAGGTGATCAGCACCTCCCCTTTTACTTGCCCCTCCTGGAGAAGCTGTAGACTGTGATGGGGTCACCCCTCGGCCTTCTCTTCTCCCACCTGAACAAACCAAGAAACCTCAGATGCTCTTTCTTATATTGAGGTACCCAAAACTACACACAGTACTTTAGGTGGGGGTAACACTAGTGCAGTGTGGAGTGTGACAATTACCTCCCTTGACTGACTGGCTATGCTGTGCTTGATTCACTCCAGGGGATGGTTGGCCATTTTGGCTGCCAGGGCACACTGTTGGCTCATATTGAACTTGCTATCAACCCACCCCCCCAGATTTCTTTTTGTAGGACTGCTCTCCAGCCTCTTTTCCTTCAGCTTATATGCTTAACCAGGATTACCCCAACTTGAGTGCACTTGAAGTACTCCAAATGAAATGCATGTGCTTAAACATGTTTTTATTATGATCAAAGGAGCAACAGAGTACATCTGCAAGACCCTTTATATATGGATACACGGAACACAATTTGAATAGGAAAATGCCATATTTGGTCATGACGATTGAGCCAAAAAGATTTAAGGAGAAATATGAATTACAAGATTTATGTAATGCATCTTTAGAAAGGGAGAAAGAGCCTTGCAGTATCAGGAGCATGAAGAGAAAGCAATTGCTGTGTCACAGTACGAATGGAGTAGGAATGGTTGGTGCTAGTTTAGAGTTTAATCTGGGTGCTTTTGAGTGACTAGTTCCAGAGTAGTCATGATGAAGCCTCCATAGAGAAACCTGGCTTGGTTAGAATGCTATGTTTTGGTTTTTTTCCCCATAAGACTTCTGCTGACAAATTGTGGCTGTGTTGTTTCAGTGTGATGATTTGGCACTACTACTGTTAACTTGCACCACAAACATCTCTGTTCATTCTCATTCTTTCTTTGGGTCCAAATTTCATTCACTTAACTCTTCATCTATGAGTAGATAATATTACTTGCAGAAAGGAAAGGCAAAGGGCCTCTGTTTTCTTGGCATAATTTCTCTGATTTAGCTTTTTTCTTTTTTCTGAATAAAGAAAAGCTTCTGGTTTCAGAAAATATGGGTGAAAGAGAGAGTATGCATTTCTTTTTACCCTTGATACTGCAGTGCTTTGGGTCTTGCTGTGAGGGACAGAAATTCTTTCAGCTTTCTTTGCTTTAAGGGGAAAAGCATCTGCCAAAGAAGAGGATGCTGTTTGTTGGGTTGTGCTTGATCAAGAAGAGGAAAGGGTGGTCAGCCCTAAACTCTTCAGAGTCACTTGCAACATCTATCCCAGCTTCTGATGAGCCTCCCACCTCACTGCCTGCTTCATAGATTTCTACAGATGCCTCATGGACAGCTTTAGACATCTTCAGGTTCTCTGCTGCAGAGATGCCAGAGAGATTGGCTGATGAGCTGAACAGGTCAGTTATACCCAAGGCCACTAAGACAGCTGTGAGGTTATATTTTTCCTCAATCTTCACACGTGGGAAGAACACTTTTATTTTCCTCTCTTCCATTAAATCAGAACTGGTCCATTCCATAAGTTTTTCAAAGGTGATTGCATTCTCAAGCTGCAAGGAGACAAGGAAATGATGTCTCTGTGATGAGAGCACAACTTCTTTTGTGACAATGCAGTACCAGTGGTGGATTTTTTCTTTTTAAACTGACTGTTCTTAGCATGGCATATTTCTAGGTATATACAGATTAATGTATCTAAGACAGAAAAGCAAACCATGGCTTTTTGTTCTCTGTCCTGCTTTCCTGCTTTCTATTTTTAATAGACTCACTGTGAATTAATTTTATTAATGAGATGGCTACTCAGCAAATTTCACCTAAAGCTCTTCCCTGCTTATCTTCTTTTCTTGTTAAACATATTCCAAAGATCATTCTGTGCCTTTGAATTGTAAGCTCTAGCTACATTTAAGGCCTTCAAGTATCCAGGTGTTAATAGAAACCAATCACTAATACATGAACTATCATTTATTACTGAGGCATTTAGCTTTGCTCAAAGACCTCTTCATTTTTATAATTCAACCTCTTTAAATTACTGTACAAACATTTCAATACACTCTCATTTCTTACATAACTTTTCATATTCGGACTATGGCCCTGCTAATGACAATATCCTGTGCCCATATTCTGTTCATATCAACAACAGTATGTAATATACATTTTACTTTCTGAAATTGCTTTAATTATTCCAGTACCTCTCATATTCAGTATTTAGATAGTTTAATTTTTGAAGTTATGAAGGAAGCATGTTGAGCACTGCCAAACCAAACAGTAATTGCAACTCATAAAGCTAACACGAACCTCCCAGGATGCTCCACAGCATGCAGGAATGCAGATGTCAAAACCTTTGGAGTTCAAGCTGCTAGAGTAGCAGCTGCTTAGCTGAGAAGAATCTGTCTGCAGTGGCCAATAATTAACCCACTAAAGTAATTCCTTAAGCACTCCATGCTCAGCACAAACTATTGCAGGACCGTTGAGACAACTGCATGATTCTATGCAACAATCCCATGCTGCTAGTGTTCAGAACTGTGCTGGTGAAGTGTTTTAGTATAGCTTTATTGTGAAGAGCCTAAATTTCACTGTGTTTAAGGTTTTATGACACTCAACTGCCAGGGCCATACCTGCTCCAAGCCAGAGACTTCATCAGGCAACAGAACCAGCATGCTCAGCTGCCCACTGGCATATGGAAGCTCCAGGATCTTAATTTTCTCAGAAGCCACCACTGCCACTTTAAATGAACCAAACTGATACATCATCTTCACGGGTATGTTTTCTTGCTGCAAAACAAAACAATATAGTTTTCACAAATATTATTCTTAGAATGTAGAAATGTGCACTTATGATTAAAGCTACTGATTGCTCTTGTTCAGGAAGATTGTATAACAACTTGTCTATTCTCTTAATAAATTCTAGAAGACACCTCTAAGGTGATGTATCTCCACGTACCTCAGTAATTCTGAAAGGCACTATCTGGGTTTCTTCATCCTTAAATGCTTTCTCCCACAGTCCTTTGAAGTAAATGGCATTGACAAGGACCATTTCAGTCTGGGGATCCACAGAGCTCGGCTGAAGGATATTTTTGATCATTCCTTTAAGAAGGCATGGGAAAAGAGACATGTATACGACACATCTGTGTATAATACGTCTTACTTGGCAATCACAATGTTAAATGAAGGCTAAAGAATTTGTAGGGAGGAGGGTATAGGGCAGCTGTAATGTTGTACTTCTGAGGTTGATTTGTTCGCTGCTGTTGGTAATAGCTGTTGTTTCCTCTCTCTGTAAAGAATTATAAGGGAAGATTTTAACATCCAGAGATTTACTTGTTAGAAAATGAGTAAAACTGTATATTTTGTGACAATGGGAAGAACCATTGGAATAGTTTATCCCAGGATGGTCTCCAACCCAAACAGTAAATATAAATACTTCTTTTTTCAAACCAAACTTGAAAGGACATGACTATATAAAGAAGGTAGCAGGAAAGGAAGAAACCAGAATTTCACTCTGTTTTCTTCTTACACTTGTTCTTTTTTATTCTGCTGTCCTCATGTACACATCAAGCTCTTCCCTCAGTCCTTTCCCACTACTAGGTTAATTATGGCCTGGTTTTCTGCTTCGAAGCGTGACACCGTACCCGAGGCTGTGTGATTGTGAATATTATCATTCCAGCTAAAATTCAGCATCTTTTATCTATGTTTGCTGATATAAAGAGTCCTCTAAAAGAGATGTTTCTGAGAAGAAAAAAAAGCACCATAACATTAAATGATAGTTCCTTATCTGGGAACTGAGCTATTATCCAGGAGAAGGACAGAGAGAGATGTTTAGGGGGTTTTGTCTCCTGACAAAGCATTCTCATATACTGCTCAAAAGTGGTGATAGAAGGGAAAATACCTATCCTGATACTTGGCTTGCTCTTACCGTTAGTCTGGTTTTCAACCCAAGAATTGATGAGCTCTCTGGCTTGATCTGCAGCTGTTTGAAAGCTGACAGTTTCCAAGCCTCCATTATATAGTTCCTTCACACATTGTAAGTATTCCTTCAAAGGAAGAATAAGCAGTTTTTAGATCAGAATGTCAAAGCATTTTGCGAAAGTGAAATACAAGACTGAAATTAAGAGATATGAATAATATGCTTATTAAAGCCAATCAGTAAGACATGATTCTAGTTCTAAAGCCTCTTAAGAGCTGATATTCATCACTTCAAGCAAGAGTATATGCTCACATGTTTAAAAATGTTCTCCAGAACTGAGCTTGATCAAAGATGGAATTAATTTCAGTTGAAATATGGGGGTTTATTCATTTTGCCAGCTTTTTAACTTATTTTGCAATGGTGTTTTCCTCTAATTTCAAATTAAATGTTCCTTTCAAAGGGAAAATTTGAAATATTTTTGAGAACCTGAAGTTATTTTTCAGGTTTGTTAAGAAAATGTTGGAGTTAACTCTTTCCAACTAAAGTTACCTTTATTAATTATAATTTGACAGGATTGGATCATGATTGTATTTTGCACAAACATCTTTTTAGCGAGGCATGTGTTTCTTTAAGACTGTAGAGGGTTAGGGCTGTGATAGAGAGAAGTTGTGAATCCTGCCTTCGATACGGAATAAAATTTCTTTAGCAGAACCTAAACTTCTGACAGTGCTTTTGCATTGCAGAATGGTACAGCTTCGAAACGGAAATAAATACACTCAGATCAGATCTTAGATCAACTCACCGGTAGGATTGGGTATGACTCTTCAGCATAAAGTCTACTGGCAAGGTTGAGCGAATAATTGTCTTTTGTTTGGGTGATTTGAGTGAACACGTTTTTAAGTGAATTGTGGGCGCTTAGAGATGAGCCGCACTGAAAGGATACATGAATACAAATAAAAAGATAGATTATGTTATTCTAGTCTTAGTACTTAGAATATTTTTTATACTATATAAGTAGAGTAGTTCAGACACTTCTGCTTACAAAACTGTTGTTCATCCTGTACATCTTGTTGCTATAACTGATGTATTTTTCTAATGTGTAAAATTCTGTGCTGTTTTTATGCTGTAATTTCCTCATACCTCTCTCAGGGGAACTTTTAATTGCCTGCTACATTATCTAGCTTCAGCAGATCAGATGAGCTTTCCTTCATTCACAGACAGTCCCATTTAACCAGCTACCTTTTCTATACATGCAAATATCTATAATTTTCCTCATATGCTCAATATTATGGTGCTGGGTTTCATCCTATGCCTGTTCTGAATCCTCTCTTAGAATCATAGAATTGTTAGGGTTGGAAAGGACCTTAAGTTCCAACCTCCCTACCATGGGCAGGGACACGTCACTCTAAACCATATCACCCAAGGCTTCGTCCAACCTGTCCTTGAACACCACCAGGGATGGAGCATTCACAACCTCCCTGCGCAACCTATTCCAGTGCCTCACCACCCTAACAGGAGAGAATTTCCTCCTTATATCCAATCTAAACTTCCCCTGTTTAGGTTTTAACCCATTACCCCTTGTCCTATCACTACAGTCCCTAATGAAGAGTCCGTCCCCAGCATCCCTATAGGCCCCCTTCAGATACCTCCTTTCTCTCTCTATTTGTATGAACAAAGTGTTCTCCCAAACTGGGGGATGCAGAACACCAGCTGCACATCAGAGAGGTATTGGAACGGCAAGAGACTGTTTTATCTGCTAAATTTTGCTCACAGGAGAAAGTGACATAGAGAAAGAGATGAAATTATTTCTGTACCTGAGGTTCAACAGTGTCTCCAAACCCGGTGATTTTATCAAAGGGAACAACCTGTAATTGAAAATAACAGTAGTTGAAATAACAGGTATGACAAAAATAAAAGTTATGCAACTAAGATTAATACATGATTCTTGAAGGAAACCTCTTAGCTCACTGTGAATCTGGGTGACTCAAGAGGTGCGATCCATCTGCAACCTCTGTGAATAGCTGGGCCTACTGTTCCCTGCTTAGATGATCTCTTTTTCTGTTGAACATCTATAAATCACTTTCAGTGTGTGCCATTAATAATACTAACTTTTTTCCAGGTATCAAGCCAGGCAATCTCTGTGAAGAAAGTGAGAGCTATAGGAAACTCACGTGAAATATTTTACAGTTTGAACACATGTTCTGGCTCTTCCCTGGAGACTTTATCTGTTCTCCTTACTCTATACAAAGGACACTAGAATGTGTTGTTCTCTTTGAGAATGTTACATCTAACAATGATAAAATTTAAATCCAGTTTCAAGATTTCTGGCTAATTCATTTGTTTAACGCTATGGGAGTTAGAGGTGGCCACAGCTTTTGATAAATCCGGATCCAGATTTTTTAGCCTCTGGGCTATGCAAGGGACGTTGTCCTATAATTTATTGCTATGGCTCTATTGAGCTGGAAGAAGGTTTAAGTGTTTCACTGAGACCTCACCTGATCTATCTGAGCCCTGGTGTTTTCTCTTGCACCTAGGTAGACCATGGACAGAGCTGAAACGATGCTCAGGGGTGAGTAGAAGATGCTCTTGTTGACATGCTGGACTCTCAGCTCCCTGAATACATCAATACAAAATTCTGTGCTTGCTGCACCTATGGATCCCATTGTGAAACCAGTATTGCCTAAAGCAAACAGCAGAAGTACAATGACAATGTAAGGAGGGAATACTGTACAAATGCAGCACAATGCACTTTAATGATAGCTTTTAGTCAATGAAATATAAACAAGTAGTTTTGAAGTCATTCTGTGGTAACATACCTATTGCTATGCTCATTTCTCATACATGTTAAAAAATCCATACTCATAAATCTGTTTCTGTCACATTTATATTCAGTTGCTTTTTTGGCAGTACAGCTTCTCGGCAGTCTAAAATCTGCACGTGATTTATGTTTACCTTTTTAAAGCAGACAAACAACAATTGCCTGTTCTTATTTTCATTCACTGAAGGCTAGAATTCCTTGGTACTCTGTAGTACCTTGATGAAAACAAGAAAATATGATCTGTCTTTGATAGACTTGCAAAGTTGTAAATTTCAAGTGCAAATTTCAGTAGATTTACTCTAGGTTTGGACAGTTACAAGTAAAAGCAGAGGCTGGTTGATGTTTTTATTTTCTAAAAATACACAAGTGCAGTAAAATATCTATTTTTCACACAGTGCTTCCAGTCAGTAGATCCTCAAAGGCTTGTATCTTTACCCTTGTTTTAATAGTGGAAGCATGGACAGGCAATATAATTTGTCTAAGGTCACCTAATCTAGGAGAGGGACTGATGCACAGAATTAATGTTCCACCATACTGTGCTTTCAGATATAGCTTGCTTTGCCTGAATGTATTTATAAGTACTACAGTATAATCTTTCTCAGAAATTGAATTTTGCTAGTGACATTCAAATAGAATAGAAATGCAGACATGATAAAATAGCAATGCCTACCACAATACAGCACTGTTAAATGAATACTTGTTTTTGCATAGACCAGCAAAATTTTGTATTTGTTTCTGTCTGAGGTTCCTAGAAGTGCTAGGCAGTGTTAAGTCCTCTGTGGCAACTGTGCTTATATAAAGGTCTAGGTCAACATGAATCTAGTTTCTTACCTGTGATTTATAGAAACTGTGAGAGTTTTATGTCCTTCAAAATTCAGCCCTTTATATAGGTGCTTAATGCTGGGATCTCAAGTTTGCTTTTGGAGCATTAAACTCTACCAAGGTTTTTAGTGACCATATTCATGGGTATAAATGTACACTGTCACAGACATTTCTCTTATTTTCCTTTCTGTATACAAGTTCACATTTATAGATTATGGTAGAAACATAAGTCTGTACACCCACACAGCTTTTATCTTGCGTAGTGTTCACCAGCTTTATTTTCCAGAGATGCAATTGTTAGCAAAATTTCACGCTAAACTAAACCTAGTATATTTACTAAATGCCATAGTTTTGCTCTCAGTGGACTTTGTTGAACCAGAGGTCAACCAAGCAAATTTATTGTTGGTTGTCAAGAATCAAACTTAAAAGATACTGAACAGGAGGGTAAGCTGCTCAGAAATAAGGTATTTTAAGCATAAAATAATAAGCGCAAAGAATAAACTTGTAAAAGGTTATCTGTAAACAAATACTTTGGTTTTACACATAATAAAATTGCATAATCACAGGTGAGAAGATTTTTAGAGAGTATCATGTAAATATTCAGTCCTTGCAGATACCAAACATAACACAATAATTGCTCTCTTCTTAAGTTTAGGCATAAAAAAGGAATAATATAGTGAGAAGGTAAGTTTTCCTAGAGAAATGCTTACCTTTTGAGCTTCAGCACCAAAGGCAATACAGCTTTCTAGCTGTATGTGGAGACTGGCTGAGCCCTTGGGAATTTATACAATTCTGAATAGTGACCTACCCGCTGCTGCTCTTCAGAAGTTTGACCTTTGACAACATACAAATAATTTCATGGGATTAGGTCAGATTTTAGTTTCAATGGGCCCTTTTTTGATTGAAGGGATAGCAAATATTAGGTTTTATTCCATATAACAATGTGTTCTCCAAGAATACATCAGGATTTGTGGATTGAAGAGCAGGAAACAATGCTCATGTTCCTTTAAGCTTCACTTGCAACTAAGTACTGGGATGTTAGTGAAAACAAAAAATGTGAAAACCTTGGTGATAGAAAATATAACGAGTAGTTATTAGTCAGTCTGTCAATAACTAGTCAAATTATTATTATGGTTGTATTAACTGATCAAAACTCTCTTTCAACTGATCCTTTTGAATGTGAAAAATGAAGCTGAGCCATGTTAGACAAAAGGTAAGAGCAGGACTTGGCCTATTATTCTACTGACAAATAAAGAAGGGTGCCTATAAGAAAACCAGTTGAGATGAAAGTCAAAAGCAGGCAAATTTCTTTGAAAAGCTGGGATATTTAAGAAAGATCTTTTGATGAGTGTGAAGGTTTCATAGCAAACTATTTTGTTCTCAGAGAGTAATAGCAAAACAAAGCCTCAGAGAAAGAAAAAAACTAGTAACTTCCAAGTATGTTTGTGGTATGCACTTGCAATGTATCTCTCTGATCTTCCATGGGTTACTTAATAGCCTAGCAGATGACAGAGGAATTGTGAAATCCAGATAAAAGAGTGTTCATGGTCTGTAGGACAATCATAATATACAATAGCAAATACATATGCGTTATAAAAGCATTTGTTCTGTATAAAAGCTATTGTGCTGTGTTGAAATAATAGAATGGACAAACAGTGAAGAAACCATTCTGACCTCTGTAAAGTACTATGTGATTTAAAATAAGGCAGGGGGATTCCAAAGTCAGTGCAACATAATTCTTCAGAGCATAGGGACATGACTGTGACCTCTGTTAAGGAGAAGAAGTAGGCTCCTGTACTACTGTCAAAAGCTTAAACACTGCAATTTTCTTTGCCACAGTCTGATTCCTTTTGTGAAAATAAATGTACCATAGAAACCTACATTCTCTTTAATGAGTTGTTATCTCCAAGACAGTCTGAAGACTTAAGCAAGACAAGATTGTACTAGAAGTACTATTTTTTGTTAGGTCTGTACTCCACAGATGTCAGCCAAGTGTTTCGGTTTGATTTTGCTTGGGGTTTTTTGTTTTCCCACAGATAGTCTGACAGATATGTATCTATACTTAAGCACAGAATAACACTTCCCTTTCTTTTTTTTTTTGTTTCTCTTAAAGTCAAGCCTACTGCTTGTACTGTTTCAGCCTTTAACAAAGCTTAAAAATCTTGTCTGCTTTTTCTGATAGAAGTGCTTCTCAGAAAACATTATCCCTACGTATAAACCAAATGTTAGTATGCTGATGGAGAAAGGGAATAGAGAATGAGTCTCCCAGGTATGTTGTTAATCAAAAATCTCCACCATCTGGTCAAACACTGATAGTGTGTTGTGTATATGTATTCTACTCAGCTTTTCATATCTGTTAATATAGAAACCAATGTAGACCAGTTGGTCCTGCCACTTTGAAACATCCTGGTGTTAAGGCAATGAACTGTTTCTCAATCAGCCATCCAGGTACTGGAGAAGACATTCAGCCTCAAAGGGATGCTTTCAGACACTTTAAAGCATTAAGACAGTGCTACCATAGCTGAGAATAACGACGTCCTCAAAGATGTCCTTGAGAGGGAGACAGTAGAGGCAGTTTTAGCCTATCCATGTCACATGGGTACAGCTAGGGGGACTCAGTAGTTCAGCTGAACTCCTTTTTCACCTCTCCTACTTTCAAAGGGAGAGTAACTGTAAGGGTGAGCAAGCCTTCTGAAACTAGGATATATGGTGCTTTTCTTAATTAAAATTCTCGGCAAGAAGCTCTATCCTTGGCTGAGTTGCCAAATAGATGATCCTGAATAATTTCTGTCTCCTGAGAGTCTTCACTACTAAGGGAGTTATCCCAAAAAACTGGCCAAAACTGTCAGCCATTTCTTTGGAGCAGACACAAGGTCAGGTCAGTAAAGACAAAGTGTTTCCACAGTAAACCTGACATATATAATCAAGCTTTATTTTATTTTATTTTATTTATTTTATTTTATTTTATTTTATTATTTGTTCAGTGTATTGCCTCCTTTGGGTGTTATGAATAAATGCTTTTTATTAACACATCACATTAATACATCTTAAGAGTGGTGAATAACAACAGGCTGTTTCTCACTCAATGGTTCATTGTACCAGTGTCCCAAGACACTGAACGCTTAAGTACCCGCATTCCTTCTTTTGTATCCACTGGCAGAGTGGATCCCCATTTCATTTGTGTAGCTCAGCAGGTCTAGCGGTACCACAGATATAGGGTGAGGCAGAAGTGCTTCCTAGTGCTACGTGGCCAGAAGAATATCTTGCATGTAATAAAATACTAGGAAGTGTGCCTGGACCCTGAGAGTCACAGGCAGTGTATCACAGCTTCCTTTGCTTTTAAGCTTCATGTACAAAAATACTGGTTATCAGGAGTCCTTCAAAGCTGAATACAAAAAGGCTGGAGAGGACATGCAAAAGTGAGCATAAGCTGGCAACACCAAACTAAGAGGAGTTGTGGACTGCCCCCAGGAGAGAGAGAGCTTACAGAGAAATCTGGATAGGCTAGATTGCTGTGCAAACTGCATGAAATTTAACAGAGCAAGTGCTGGATTCTCCATGTGGGGTAAGGCAACTCTGGCAATACATACAAATTAGGAGACAAGGGGCTGGAGAGCAGCCCTGCAGAAAAGGATCTGGAAGTTTGGATCAGTGGCAAGTTAGTGTAGGGCACAAAAGCTGGTGTATGACAACCAAAAGCATAGCCAGATGGTTGAGGGAGGTGACTGTCACACTCTACGCTGCACTAGTGTTACCCCTCCTAAATTACTGTGTGTAGTTTTGAGTGCCACAATATAAGGACATGCAAACTACTGCACTGAGTGTGACCAAGATAGAGAAAGGCCTCCGGAACAGGACTTACAGGGAGTGGCTGAGGTTTCTTGGTTTGTTCAGGTGGGAGAAGAGAAGGCCAAGGGGTGACCCCATCACAGTCTACAACTTCTCCAAGGGGGCAAGTAAAAGGGGAGGTGCTGATCACCTCTTTCTGGTCACCACTGAGAGGACACAAGGAGATCATAGAATCACAGAATAGCAGCTTGGAAGGGACCTCAAGGATCATCTGGTCCAACCTTTCTTGGCAAAAGCAAAGTCTAGACAAAATGCCCCAGCACGCTGCCCAGCTGAACCTTAAAAGTGTCCATTGCTGGGGAATTCACTACTTCCCTGGGGAGGTTGTTCCAGTAGCTGACTGTTCTGGAATGAAACTGAGTCAGGGAAAGCTCAGATTGGACATTAGGAAAAGGTTCTTCCCTGAGACGGTGGTGAGTCACTGGAACAGGGTCCCCAGGGAGGGGGTCATGGCACCAAGGCTGTCAGAGTTCAAGGGATGTCTGGACAATGCTCTTAATCATATGGTTTAATTTTAGATCATCCTATGAGGATCAGGGAGTTGGGCTTGATAATCTCTCCCAACTTGGAGTATTCTATGATTCTATGAATCTATATGCCTACATCTAATGATCTGTTTTCTCACACTGTTTATAGTGAACCTCAGATCCGTGCCATAACTTTCACTCTTAATTCCTTTTTTGCTAAGGGTCACTTTGTGTTCACAGGAGTTTATTTCTATTTCTACCACACTGGTCTTCCATATAAGACTTGGCTAGTACATTTAAATCAGATCTGCCCTCCAAGTGTCCCTCAAACCCTTCTCCTGAGGAGTCGTGATTTTCCTTCCCTTAATTTATTGTACATGAATTACATCAATGTCCAGACCCGTGTCACAGGCCCTGATCGTCACAAGTGGCCTGTATTTTAGGACCTACAAACATATTTAGTTTTGTCAGTGATCATTGTTTTCACATAGGAAGTATAGAATAAAAATCATCCCAGAGCTGGTTTTTTTTATACATGGTGAATTTGAATTCTGTGTAGAGTCCTCATTCCAGACCTGCACAACAGTTTTGTATGTGTTTGATGCAGAACTTTGTTACATGTTTCTCTTAAAAAAACATGTTTTGTCTCAAATAATTGGATTTTCAGGTTCATAACACACACAAAATAAGCAAAGCCATGGAAGGATAAGAAGCTCTGCTTTGATAGAGCATGAGAAAGATATGCTGCACTCCTTCCCAGAGGACGGAAGTTCTAGTTTTCTGTGCTCAAACTGATAGTTAATGCAAGTCCAGTTGTAAGCAACAGAATCTACCCATGCGCAGATAAAGAACTGGATCAGAACAGGCTGTCAGCATAGAATCAGCGCACAGAAGGTCTTGTATAGTCTGCTTGACATGGGGTCTAGAGAAAGTAAGCAAACCTTCCCTTCAGTTGGAAGGCTATCAGGGACAGCTATCAATTGTTGCTTTCCAGTGCAGCTGTGCAAAGCAGTACAAACAGTTCTGTCACACATCCTTGTCTGACAATGGTTGTCTCAAGAAAGAGGTCAGCTAAAGCTGTGCTGCCCTTTCCTCTGCTCAGCAATTCATTGTAGAGCTGTTCCTAAACTAACAAACTCTGACTACCTGAACTTTGGGCACCTGAGAGTATAAAAGGCACTTTTTTATCCAACAGGATATGAAGTCCTGGTCAGCTCACTGACCAAAGCCTCTCATCCAATCACAATCCTACACAGAACTTGAGATTTTTGTCCTCCTCATTGTTCCTGGTCTTTTGCCAGTAGGAATAAGCACGTTAACTGTTTTGTGTTCATCTTCATTCTACATTGGATATGAGGAGGAAATTCTTTCCTGTTAGGGTGGTGAGGCACTGGAATAGGTTGCCCAGGGAGGTTGTGAACACTTTGTCCCTGGCAGTGTTCAAGGCCAAGTTGGATGAGGCCTTGGGTGATACGGTTTAGTGCGAGGTGTCCTTGCTCATGGAACTTGATGATCTTAAGGTCCTTTCCAACCCTAACTATTCTATGATTCTATGATTCTACACTGTGATTCTGGAAGCTGTCATTCCATAAGGGACAGAAACAACCGTTCAAAGAAAGAGAAATCATTTTAGACTGAGTGATTGCAGCTGACCGTCTAACTGGTTGTCATTGCAGACCGTTGTGCTGTAACTGTCAGGGATGGTTTCTCTCTCAGTTGTTATGTGGGACTGTGTTTTTACCCCAGTAAAAAGAAAAATTAGGTTTTTGGTCAAGCTCTTTCAGACAGGAGCTTGTAGCCCACCTGACACTTTTCTACAGCAGCGCCGTGCCATTCTGAAGAGATGGATGTTGTTGCCTGCAGTGCTGCCTTGATCTCTCACAGGGGCCTTTGTCATTGCTCTTAATTATCATTGTGATATCCCATATTAGGTCTTAAGTTCATTTAAACTTGACATAGTGTCAGCCTTCATTGTACAGCTGATGACTGCTTAATGCTCCCCCATGGATATTTGATCTGACATAGGTTCATGTGTCCTCCATGGTATATCTTTCAGTGATCGCATCCCACGTGTCAGCAACAGGTTGGATGAGAGTGTTTGACTCTGAACCTGAAGATCATCTTCACTGTAGTTCAAGGAGTTTTAGCCTCACCTACATGCAAAGCCTTTTACTTGCTCCCATACATATCACATATCTTGCTGCTGAAACAATATAAAGGCTATCTCTAAATGATGAGAGTGCCTTTGTTCTAACAGCTCAAATGCAAAAGAAACTATACAATAGTCAGAAGCAAGAAGAATCTACCAGGTAGGAGTATAGAAGCTTTCCCCGTGCATGCAAGGACGGAATTCGAAACGCAAAATTTCTGCTGGAGGGAAAACTGACAAGGGATGTGAAGAGCAGTAAGAAAAGCTTCTTTAAGAACACCAAAACGGAGACTAAGGAAAAGTCAGGATGATTAGGGAAGGTTCCTGATGATTTGGAAAAGTGACTAACTTTCAGAGAGGGAAAGGAGGAGAATTCAGGAGACTACGGAGGTTTGCAGTCACTGAAAAGGTGTAGTGCACTGCTGCAAAGCACTAGAGCTAGTGTTCATTACAATCTACATTAAGAAAGGCACTACAACTCTGTAAGATACTGCTTGAAATACAATTTATTCCAGTGAACGTTAAAAAGAAAAAGAGGATAGTATGGATAATCTTACACTCCCTCAGATGCAGGGAACCCCAAGTTGTGCAGCACTGAACAGAGCATCAGTGAAAGTGCTGGGCCCATTCATGGAGACAGATGTTGACTAACATTTTGGTCTTTGGAACTCTTGTAGAATTTTCTAAAGAAGAAAAGAACTGAATTCATTTCTACTGTGAAACAAAAGGATATTGTCAAGAAAACAAGCTGCTTCACTTAATGCTAAACACAAGGACACAGGTGGTGCATTCACACATGCCAGGCAGGATCTAACTACAAGTTCCTTTCTTCTGAAATACAAAGTTTACCATGCAGTCCAGGGATATGTTCAACAGAGCACAGAATGGGAAACCAACCTATACGTTCGGTACAGCACAGGCCTGTGCCTTCTTGTGTCAACTGTTATGTGGATCACTAACTCCTTGATGTACAATTGTATTCAAGTTTGAATCACTACAGAAGTCTCCAAAGCAAACCCTTCTGGGAGTATTTCAAGACACATCAAGGAATAATACATAATGTGAAAAGCCAGCACAGTTGTACTGAGGGCAAATACCTCCTGACCAACCAAATTGTTTTGTAGGATGGGTTGGCTCGTTTTATAAACAAGGGAAGAGCAGAGGATATTGCACACCCTGGCTTTAGCAAAGTCTTCAGAATGATCTCACAGAATATCCTTGTGGTCAGATTGGAGAGTTATAGACTGAGTAAACAGGCAATACTGTGGAAAATTAGCTGGACTTCCAAAAACAGCAGTAGCAGGGCTACTTTGAGGACAGTGAGCCATGTGGGCAGTGATGTGTGGGCAGTGCCCTCACCAGCCAGTGGCACACCACAAGATCTGACCATAGGGAGGCAGAATGGAATGCCAGTAACAGGGTCCATCAACAGCCATTGAATCATAGAACCACAGAATGGTTATGGTTGGAAAGGACCTCAAAATCATCTAGTTCCAAGCTCCCTGTGATGGGTAGGGACTCCTCACACTAGACCAGGTTTCTTAAAGTCCCATCCAACCTGGCCTTGAACACTCCCAGGATGGAGCATTCACAACTTCCTTGGGGATATTGCAAGAGAAGAACCAGGGCCAGGGTCCACCTACAGAGCCCAGGGAACAGTGAGAGCTGGCTGCTCCCTGTGGCATGGGAGATTCACTGACCAGGGCCCAGCCCCATGGCAAAAGGAGAAGGACAGATCCTGAAATGGTGACAGGTCCAACCAAGTCTTCAGGTCATAAGGCAATATAGTTACAAGGCAGGTCCAAAATCAGTCTGGGAAGTCAATCCACAAGTGAGGGTGGGGATGAGGCCTGGTGACCACCAAACAGGTCCACAGTGACAGAGCATGGCTAAGATCAAGCCAGAAAATCAGTCCTCAAGCTTCTGTGATCAATGGAAAGAGGCCCGTGGCTGGGCAGAGTAGGTCTGTGGGGAAACAGAGATTAGCCCTGACTCAATGTCACTGGGGCAGGGGCTGATGGCCTGGGAGGTAACATGAAGGTCTGGGCTGTGAGTAGGTGAGGAAGGCCCCATGGGAAGTCAGGGCCAACAAGGGCTGTTTAGCACCTTCAGGGCTCAGTCACATCAGTCTCCCCTCTGAGGCAAGTGTATCCTAGCTCCTTAGAGAGACCTGGGTGCAGGAGGGACTTGCTTTAGAGTCACTTGGTGGCTGTGGGGTGTTAGTGGGCTGTTCCAGAGGACATAGAGCCAGGGCAGGGGCAGTAGACTGGAAAGGGACATGGCATGAGAGTGTGGGGGCTGAGTGAGGGGGGGAAGCTACCCCAATGGGCACAAGCCAGGGAGCAATGGGGTCTGGCTGGGTGGAAGGGGGCTCACTTAGGAGCTTGGGTCTGAGTAACGGGCGAGTGCTGTGAGGAGATCAGGAACTTCTGTAAGGACAAGGCTCTGCGTGACCAGAGACCAGGTTTCCTGATGCTCAGCAGAGGGCTCCAGGAGGCCTGAGCTCGCTGCTAGGGAGAAGCAAGAGCCAGCTTCTTCTTCAAAGAAAGACAAAGCAGGAGGCAAGCGGGTCCCACCACTAGCAGGGCAGGAGTCTCACCAGCCAGGGCTCAGTCCCACAGGATCAGGGTAGAGCAGACCCAGAGACCACAGACAGCTCCAAGCAAGAACCCAGGTCATAAGGCAATGTCATGACTATGAGGCAGGTTCAAAGAAAAACATTGAAGTCAGTTCACACGTCAGAGCTAGCCTCAGGTCCAGTGATCACAGGGCAGGGCCAAGGTCACATTAGGAGTCCTTGGCTAGGCATGGACACAGCTGTGTTTAAGCTGGAGGCTGAAACATCTCTGATGCAGCACAGAGAGTGTCCTGAAGGTCCATGTCAGCTTAGAGCTCCTGCATCCATAGGTGTGAGTAGAGGCTCCAGGTGCCTGGTCCTGGTCAGGACCATTAACCATTAAAGACTTATGAGCGCACCCAGAGCCTTGTACCCATTCACTTATGAGGAAAAGAGATGGACCAGAAGACAAGGCTACCAGGCTTTGGTCTGAGGTCCATCAGGAAGCAGGCCTGGACATAGGCACCTACTGCATACTTCTGGCAGAGACTGAAATGCCAAGTCTCAGATGACATGAGCTTTTGCTGTGGACAACAGTCTTGGCTTGAGGCATTTCATATAATTTCTGGATGTTTAATTTCTTGATACTGTAGTTGATTCAGGCATTGAAGAAAACAATGTGACAAACTATGAAACAGACCTTTCATCCCACTTCCCCACACTCAACTTCAGTCCAAAACCTCTCTTTCTCTGCTTCCTAGTTTTCAGCTTTCTTGTGACACTCAGTGCTTCCCAGTCTGCTTGGTGAAGAAGCAGCAGGCAGGGCAGGAGGTAGGGTTGGTGTATAACTGTGCCTTCGCGGATATCAACTGGGAGCCCTGGCCAACTTTCCCTCCAGAGTCCAGGAAATTCTGTGAGTGCTCTTCCTCTGGTGCCCATGATCAGAGCATATTGCCTGCAAACTCTTGTGCCTTCAGCCATGGCTTTGGTTTGCTTAGGAGAAAGTAGGCCTTTTGTGCAAGTCAAATGTGCAGAGAAGCATGGAGTAGTCTCAGACAATTATATTCCCCAAAGGACTGAGAAGATATGTCAGCTCCAAACCTTCCCCAGATGACATGATAAGGAAAAACACACTTAGTCCGCAAAGCACTTCTAATGCTGTCCTATGCAGCATTAAAAGGAGTGTGATTGCTTTGTGGCTGCTTTTTTTCTACAGACCCTTAGCAGTGCTGTGTATCTAAAACAATGCAGCACGCTGTGGAAGTGGAGCATAGTGGAGAGACAGATGGCAATTTATTGACATACCAACTTCAGTCATGCTGCCAGGGAACAAAAAGGATTACTGAACAATACCTAGACTTTGTGGGAACTGGGATTCGTGTTTCTAAATTCCTCATGGACTTCAGAACTCAGAAGCAGCAGGCAATGTTTCCCCTCATGGCTGCTATTCCCTCATCATGTGTAACACTCTCCATCCTGTCATTTGCAGAGTTGATTCCCACGAGGGCTGCAGCAGCCACATTCATCATGGCAGGGCCTTTACAGCAAGTCCTGCTGGCCCAGACCAGCAATGCACAGACACAGTCCTGAGCCCAGCCATTGGTACAGGGGTGTAGATTTTATTCAAGTTTGCTGAATCTGTGCTTGTACATCTCATTTTAGACCCTACGGAGGAAGTTTTCTCTTTAATAAACCAAGTGACTCTATCCCTTATACAGTATTTGACTGTGATATTATTTTTCCATTCAGGGTACAGACATCTAAAAATTACCCTGGACTTTCACCAAACAACTTTTCTTTCTCTTAAAAATGACAGAATTTCAAGCATAATGTCACTGCTTTACATTTTCAGCATATCAACCAAAATCATCTGCTTGCAGGAGGAATAAAATAAGGACAAAATTAGAAACTACATTGAGCTCTCAAACATAGTTTTCAACAGGTGCCTTTCAGAAGACTGATAGACATTAATTTGTACCCATAGTGACACCTAATGGCCCAAATTAAAACGAGTCAAATAGTTCTGTAGCACAACATGAACATTAGCTGTACTCTGTGCCTTGAAAAACTCTCTCGTGTATAGTTTTAGGAAGCCACCATTTCAGCCTCAATTTTCTCCATTTCTTTGCTTTAAAGTAATCATCAAGCAGAAGAATGATTGAACAATAGAATAGCTGGTTTTTTTTCTTCATGCTATGTTATAAATACTTCCACAATAAATGTTGATAGTTTTATTGTCATTGTACATAGAAAGTACAGAGTGACAGATATGCTGATTTCAGTTTAAGGACAATTTTATGAACTTACACAGTCTGCTGCAATACTTTTCAAGTCCTGCCCTATTTTTTTTTAGTTGCTGCAAAATTCTGTTGACCGCCTTTGGCTCTGAGGGAAGCAGAACACAATGTACACAGTAAACCTTGAAATGTCCTATCTCTTGAAAACCTTTTTTGCTTCAGTACTTGTGTTAACTGTAGATAATCCTTTATAACTGTCTTGGGAAGACCAGTATTTGCAATTGTCCCATAAGCTAGACTTCATAGGAGCTATGACAATGTGTGTCCCTGCTGCAAGCATGATTTCAAGTTATATTTAATGCTGACTTTGCAAATGGTTGAGGCAGCTCCAAAATCTGCCATGTATGTGTCTCCTTTTGTAAGCAGTTTTTAAGTATTGATACTGTAAGTTGCAGTTCTGCGTGTGTATCCCACCAGAGGGAAGGTTGGTTAACTCAGCAATTAACACTAATACTTTCAATTGGATAAACTGTAACCTGAAAAACCGTGACATAGGAAATAACATGTCCTAGAGGATTATTACATCAAAAAGCAATAAGAAATATTTCCTCCTATGATTCTTGTGAGTAATAGAGAGCTTAAGCAGTCCACCTTTTAAGACACTCTCCTTATGTTTTTGAATTTATATCTCTTAGGCATCACCTTGATATATTGTCGTGGTTTAAAACCAGTCAGGCAGCTCATTCACTCACTCCCCCACTTCTTGCCCTCCCCCTACTCCCAGAGGGATGGAGAGGAGAATAGAAAAGAATGCAACTCCCACAGGTTGAGATAAGAACAGTTTAGTAACTAAGGTATAACACAAATCACTACTGCTACCACCAATAATAATAATGATAAAGGAAATAACAGGGGAAGAGAATACAACACCTCACCACCTGCTGACTGGTAACTCTCCCCCCCAGCCCGACCAAGCACTGACTGATACCTCGTCCAACCCCGCAGTCCTAGCTGTTCTGCGTAACTCTCCGTTACATCCAGGGCATGACGTGCTGTGGTATGGAATACCTCTTTGGTCAGTTTGGGTCAGGTGTCCTGTCTCTGCTTCCTCCCGGCTTCCCCTCCTCCCTGCCAGAGCATGAGGCTCACAAAGTCCTTGGTCAGACTAAAACATCAGTGTTATCAGCTCTGTTCCCAGGCTGAAAGTCAAAACACAGCACTGCACCAGCTACTAAGAAGGAGAAAAATGACTGCTACTCCTGAACCGAGGACATATATTTACAGAGGAAGTCTTTTAAAGCTGTCTGGGGATACAATAGCAAAATTAGTTATTGATGTGCCATATGGACATAAGCTGAAGGTAAGAAAAGGAGCTATAGGGTTTACCTTGCTTAAGCTCAAAAGCTCTTTAGTGGCTATATGGGTACATTTTGGTTTTGAAAATAAGATCCGAATCCTATTCTAACCTACTTCTGTCCCACTACCCACTATATCGTATGTTTCAGCTTGTGTGGTGCAGTAACCCAGAATAGGTAATGACAATGACATGTTTATTTTGCAATGCTTTTATTAGAATAAATAGAAGGACCACCAATTAACATTCACAAAATCAATGGTATGTCACTGCAATGAAGATGGGAAATTATATCTGTCAGGAAGATATTGTATTTGGAGATGATAATATATGAAGAAATGGTAGACTTTCTAGATGTTTCTTCAGAACAAGAGAGACAGACACAGGCACAGAGAGACACAGCCTTATACTAACATGCAGCACAAAGAAGCCCACATGCATTCCTGGAAGAAGAATGCTTTGCTAAAGCACAGATTATGTCTGCAAGTTTCCCAGGCATCAATTCAATGGTGGCTGTCCAGAAAGGAACTGGGTTATTCTGAAAGCTGTGTTTCTTTCACTAACCTCCTATACAGAAACCAGATTGTCAATTAAAGTGGAAGTATTTCACACAAAAGTCAGAACACTAGCCTGTCTCTCAAGTTATTCAATGGTGATGGGAGATATTCCTAAACTATCTCCTGTAATTTTCATTCAATCTTGGATATAAGTCCTGAATACAAGTGGTGTGAGCAGAAATACCTGCACCTAAACATCTGAAAAGTCATACACTTCTTCAAGGACATCTCACTAGATATTGAAGGCTTTCCATTTGGAGAAAATATTGAAGAGATGAGATTATACTACAATCCTACAGTAAAGGGGATCTGTTTCTGAGGGGAAGACAAGCTTTATTTCCAGCTCCTTTTTTTCTTAGGGAGAGCAATATTTACCAACAAAAAGGATGATGTTGGTTGGATTATGTTTGATGAAGAAAAGGAAAGGGCGGTCAGCCTTAAACTCTTCAAACTCAGAAGATTGTTTGATGTCTCCAATCACATCTGCTGAGCCACCCATCTCAGTGCCCTCTTCATTGACTTCCATGTATGACCTATGGACAGCCTCTGATATCTTCAGGCTCTTTGCGGAAGAGATGCCAGACAGATCAGCTGAAGAGCTGAACAGGTCAGTCATACCTAAGGCCTTTAACACAGCTATGAGGTTGTATTTTTCCTCAATCTTCATTTTTGGGAGGTACACTTTCACTCTCTTCTTTTCCATAACACTGGGACTGGTCCACTCCTTGAATTTGTCAAAGTTAATTTTTTTCTCAATCTGCAAAGAGAGTCAAGAATAAAATGCATGAGACGAAAGCGCAAGGGCCTTAACGGCTGTGTTTATACCACTTGCTACTATATTTTTTATTTACTTTGTGTACACAATAGAACTGATACTAATCTTAAATATATTTGCTTATATCATGTGCTTCCTCCTGACTACAGCCTATGTACCATCTGTCTTAATGAAGTCCTCCAAAACATTGTCATCTGAAAATTTCCTCATCAGATAAAAAAAACCTGTTCCTCCTGGTATATATTTTATTGATCATTTCCCTCACCTTAGTTCCTTTCTAGTACTGCCTTTCCCACATTCCTTTTAGTCAGCTCCTGTACGGTCTTCCTCATCATTCCCATTTTTTTAGTTCCCCTCAGGTAAGGTTTTCTTACTTAGCAAACCCTTGAGTGCCCTCCTGGAAGACTGAAGTCACTCAAGATTTAAAAAAAATTTTGCTAGCATGTCTGTTTCTGGTACGTGATGGAGACCGATGCATATAACAACTGATTCAGGGCTATAATAGCACTGCCCTCCTTTACTTTTGTTTTATGAGCACTGACCCCTGTGCTCTTCTAAGACGCCAGTCTCAGCCTGAGCACTTGGTGGGACTTGAGGGGCTTTTGTGATCCCCCATCTGCTCAGCACAGCCATGGAGTAGGCAGCTGGGATGTAAATGGACAGCAAAAGATCTGGTGGTAGCAAGGTTCCACTGAACTGGTACCTCTTCTGCTTCCCCTGCCAGGACCATACCTGCTCCAGACCAGAGACATCATCAGGCAACAGCACCAGCATGCTCAGCTTTCCACTGGCATACGGCAGCTCCAGGATCTTAATTTTCTCTGAAGGCACAGTTCCCATTTTGAAGGTACTGTTCTGACACATCATTTGCACAGGTCTGCTTTCTTGCTGCAGAAACACAAATGTGAGATAATGTGACTGGGGAGTGATTTTTTCTTTGAGCAGACAAAAGTACAGGGACAGGAATTGATCTTGAAGCATGCTGCCTTTGAAAGAGACCTGTGTCTCCATTTTCCTGTCTTATATGCTGGTGTGCCCTGGAAGCCTGGTCATACACAGCTCATGCAAACACCCCATGGGCTTAGGCCCAGGCTCTGGCAGTGAGGGACCTAGCTAAATCACCCAACCTGTGACAGCAACAGGCTGTATGTGTAACAGGTTGGCTGTGCAAGCCAACAGCTGTCCAGGCCAGAAGATGGGTCCATGCCCTCCTTACCTCTGTCACACTGAAGGGCACTTCCCGAGTGTCTTCTTCTTTAAATGCTGTCTTCCATATCCCTTTGAAGTAAACGGCATTCACAAGGACCAGTGTAGTATCTGGATCAACAGAGCCTGCCACAAGGAAGTCTTGGATCTGTCCTTTAAGAAAGAGTCAGGGCAGAGAGTGATAAGTTACACCTGGTGTGCACAAATACCTACAATGAAGGGCATGGGGATGGAGGGGTGCCACTTTGTGGAATTTTGTTTTCATAGCAGTAAGCAACCTGCTTTTGCTTGACCCTTTTTTCCTAGACATTATGAGGAGAAGAAGACAAGAGTATAGATTACGGTAGGTGGGGGAAAATATCTGCTACCCATTTTTCGGTCCTTACCATTTGTCTCTTTCTCCACCCAAGAATTAATAAGCTGTCTTGCTTCCTCTGCAGCTGTTTTGAAGTCAACTTCTTCCATCCCTGCTTTGTAGAATTTCTTTGCACACTTTAAGTATTCCTGTAAGCGGAAGGATTGCTGTTGTCAGACAGATGAGTACTTGAAGACGTATGAATGTGAAATGCAAGACCGAAATGAAGCAGAATGGTTAGAACCATGAACCTATGCCCCTATGTTTGAACATGTCAGTCACTGGTGTCTTCCTGTAACTGAATCTTAAAGCTGTATAAGAAAGACTACTTCAAATACTTAGATTAGCACTTTTTTTTAAAGATAGGATTTTAAATTTAATTTTTTAAATATTTTCATAATTTTACTAAAACATCTTCAGTTTAATGAACATTTTTAAGGACAAACAATGTTTGTTTCCTTTTCTTTGTGACTGCTTTTTATTTTTCTGTGTTCTTCCATTCTTAGATTCCAAAACCAAAACCTCCTTTCACTGGAAGATTTGATATTTGGCCTTGAAAAAAAAATGCAAACATGACAATTTCAGTCTTCATGCTTTCAAGTCATAAAATATTTTTCATTTCCCTTAAAAGTTAAATTTTTCATTAAGACACATATTCTAGCAAATGAACAGTTATCTTGATTACTGTCTATGTTTCAACATGGGTGTATTTTATGCCATTATGCTTTTGCCTGACCTCCATATAGCAGCCACAAGAAGGTTCAAACTCATTCTGAGCAAGTTCCCCTCATGGCTCACAGCCACTTCTTCATCAACAACAGTGGGTTGGTGATGGTGGTGCTTCTGTTGGGTGGAGTCACAGGGCCTTTATGGGGAATCCTGCAGAAATCAGGCTCCAGTACAACTCACCGGAAGAATGGGGTATGTTTTTTCAATATAGAGTTTGTCAGCCATCTTCAGTAAGTATGTAGCATTCGGCATGGTGAGGTCTGAGAGAAGATCCTTGAATGCATTATGGATGTATTCAGAAGTGCCACACTGAGGTGGTGACATGAAAATAAGAAGACACATTGCATTAGTTTCTTCTTATAGTATCATAGAATCATAGAATGGTTAGAGTTGGGAAGGACCTTAAGATCATCTCATTCCAATGGCCCCTACTATGACATAAGACCTTAAAGAGTTGTCCCTATAAGTTAAGAGTCACTCTGCAATGGAATCCTCCCCCACAGATATAGGACTGTCACCTCTGGGACAGCAGGTGCTGTGGTGGTGGTGCACTGTTCATCCTTCTCAAGGTAAGTCCCCTGAAATGCGCATTTTGGAAGAGTGCAGTTGTGTTTGTGTCACTGACACTCTTGGTTTGAGAATATTACCATAGTTTTTGACAGGGTCTGATACTGTTTTGTTCTGAGGAGAAAATCATACAGAAAGGCGTATCAGGTTATTTCTGTACCTCAGAGTCAATAGTGTCTCCAACTCCTGTGACGTTATCAAAGTGAAGAACCTGCAAGAGAAAAAGCCAATGGTAGAAACAACAATCATGACCAAGAATTATGTGAATTTGAGATTTACACATGATGCTTAACATTGAGTTGTTGGCTCAGAAAAAAATATTGCTAACTGAAAACACAGATGAACTAAAAATTCACAAGTGAGCTTGCAATTGGTTTATACCCTCTGCGGCCTTCTTGGGAACTGTAAATACTACTGTTTTCTTAGATGATAGTTTTTCTTTGGATGTCTAGAAATTAAATGAGTTACATATGTACTGCTAATTGTATTCCTTTCTTCCTGGGGTTTGTAGTTTTTATATATTAAAAAAATACCCTGATCACATTATCTGGAAGATATCAGAATTTAGAAAAAAAAATAGTATTATAAAATTTGATGACAGTTAATCTATTTTGTTATTGTTCTTGAGATATTTTTTTTTTCCTAGGTCAAAACTAACTGCCCGTTATAGTGACAATATGCAACTTTCCTTAGTATTTTCTCTGAATAACTCTCAATCCAATTCTCCGTTTTGTGACTATGGCTTACTCTTGTATATTAAAACAGGTGAGAAGCTCATCAGTGGTTAGTATATTTCAGTGATATTACTTAGAAGGAACAACAAGCACAAGCAGAGGTCACTTTACACCCATGTCAAGTAACTTACCTTCTGCATCTGAGACTGAGTGTTACCTCTTGCTCCCAGATAGACCATGGCCAGGGCTGAAAGGATGCTCAAGGAGGAGTAGAAGATGTTGTCGTTAACATGGTGGACTTTCAGCTCTTTGAATACATCAAAAGCAAATTCTGCATTTGCTTCACTGATGGAGCCCATTGTGAAATCAGTGTTGTCTAAAGCAAACAGAAGGAGTCTGGCTTATTATGTTGAAATACATTAATGGTAATGCAAGAAAGTCAGCACACTTGAACCCCTGAACTCAGTGCACAAGGTTTTTCTTTGCAACAAACAGAATCCAGTGGTGTGGATTTAAAAGGCAGGCGTGCTTTTGGATTCGTGAGCAATGAATGTGCTGGGTAGGTACCTATTATGCATAAGCTGCTGATTCTCTTATTTGAAACTTGATTTCTCCCTCCTTGTATATATACACCATATTGTTGAAAATGTTGCAAAGAATATTAGCTACCTTGAAAGAAGCATATTAACAGTCTTTTCTTGTCTCTTAAGAAAAAATATCAACATAGATATTTTTGAGACTCCAAATCAGGCTCTTTGCTATCATTCTTAACATCACTTTAAAGATCAATAAAGAGATTAACAGGTCAGCCATCTATGATCCAAACTGCTGTTAATTTCAGTATACAATGTACACATCTGAAACAACAGCATAAGTTTTGCTAGATTTATTCTAATTTCTGCCTAGTGTAAACAGAAGCTAGATTCTTACACCACCTACCTTATCAGAGGCCCCCAAAATTAGCAACATTACTTTTATTTCTTTAAAAAGGATTATAAAAGCATATCATTAATTGCATCTCACTGTTTAAAAAAAAGCGTTCAATTTTTTAACACCTTTTCCATAAAATACACCCTTTAATAAGAAAGTGATTGTTCGGCCTTTTGTTTAATTTGCAGAGATCTTCACATGTTCTGTATTTAAGTATTTTTCTGCCCTTTTCCTCACATCCTTGTAAAATTTTCCCTGTATTTTCAGCACCTCACATTTTGTATAACATGGAGGAAATTATTTTTTAATAAAAAAGACAACACAGAATAGAAAAGACGATACTGTAAAGTCTAATACAACAGAATAGCATCTATACCACTTACAATTTCGCACATGTTGACACAAACAGAGAGAACCTTGCTAGGGTGGTGATTTTTTTCTTTAATCTTAGACAATGTGACTAAAAGACAATACAGAGCTGCAGTGTGCTGGGGTCACCTGAGCACACTGCATGCCTTAATTTCATTCAAGAATATCCATAAAACCTGCAAGTGAGCTTTAGTTGCACCCTCTGGAATTTAAGCAAATTCAATTTTGTGTTTTAATCCTTAATGAAAAATAAAAGGGATAGAAGAAAAAGGAAGAAAGGCTGTCACAGCGTATCACCAGCTTTCAACGTGAAGCAGCTATTAAACAAAACGTTAGTTCATACAAATATTTTGACTTTTATGCATGGTAGAATATGAAACAGTAAAGTAATGCAGAACGCGTATGAAGGTGAGGTGAGGTTTCGGCAGAAGGCATCCTTTAATCATTTGGTTCTTCAACTAACGCTAAAAGTCACAAACATGAGGTTACATCAACAAAACTTTTTGCAAGTTTTGTTACAGACAATTTTTCTTAAATTGCAGAAGAGAACTTCAATCATCATCAAAAGAAGCACTTACCTTTTCAGCTTCACCTGCAAAGGTAATAGTACAGCTTCCCAGCTGTACTTGGTGCAGACTTGCCGAACTCCTAGGAATATATGTGTAATTTTGTGACACGCCCCACGCTGCCTGTTCTGTGTTTAACAAATAAAATGATGGATGGAGCTCAATGTCAGGTGTGTACTTTTACTTGGAATAAGTCCATTCTTTAGAAAAAAAAAGCCTGAATGCCTGAATGAAAGGATTTTCCACTAAAATCCCTAACAAGTCCAGAATGGGAGATTTATTCATATAGCGCATAAAACCTTGCAGAAAAGGAAAGATCATATTGAAATAGCTGAAGCAAAAATAGTGTAAAAGCTATTCATTGGAACTTGAGTTTTAAGTATGATCTGATGATGGCAGCAAAGTGCGGCAAAGCTCATGAAAATAAAACAAAAAATGTGAGAAACTGAGCCTTGGAGAATGTCTCTAAGGAATTCTGAGTTTATTTCTTAGTTATTCCTCTGTAATGAGTACTGACAGGCCAGTCCCCTTTCAGAGTCTTTGTTCTATTAACTCAAAAAAATTTATTAATATCAGCATCTGCAGGACTCCTTCCTATGGTATGCCCACACTATACTTATTGCAACTCTTCTCCCTCCTGTTGCTGGCTGGACTACCAACATCACTGGTCTTTCTTTCAACCAGAGTACATTGCTCCTGCTGAAGAGTGGGGAAACTTCTGCTACCAAGGAACTTGAGAAAGAGCACATCCTTCAAATGTTAGTTGCCAAATTTAATAATATTGAAAAAGATTATTCTGCAAAAACATGTATGTAATTGCCCAGTGCCACTGTTTCACAGTTTCACAGACCTCAGTTTCACAGCTTTTCATCCTACAGCAATCTAACTCAGGGAACTCAGACATAGTCACAGTCTGTACAACCCATCAGTAGAACAAAACCTTCAGTGAGCATACTGTGGGAATAAAAACTAACTTCAAAGGGAATATTCAGAGCATCTGTATAGAGAAGTATTACAGAGCTGAAGAAAAATGTACTGGGGAAACAAGGGTTGAGGTTGCTTTCCAAATTCAGGCATCAGGATATTTAGATCCCAGTCAGATGGTACCATAGAATCATAGAATGTTTAGGATTGGAAGGGACCTTAAAGCTCATCTAGTTCCAAAACCCCTGACATGGGCAGGGATACCTTCCACTAGACCATGCTGCTCAAAGCCCTGTCCAGCCTGGCCTTGAACACTGCCAGGGATGGGGCATCCACAATTGCTCTGTGCAGCCTGTGCCATTGCTTCACCATCCTCACAGTAAAGAATGTCTTTGAAATCCACCTAATCTAAATATCTCCCTTTTTGACTTAAAGCCATTTCCCCCTTGTCCTGTCACTACATGCCCTTGTAAAAAGTTCCTCTCCATCATTCTTGCAGACCCCTTTAGGTACTGGAAGGCTGCTTTAAGGTCTCCCTGGAGCCTTCTCCTGGCTGAACAACCAGAAAAGGATTCAAACTCACTGCTAAAATTTTGACGAATAGTTTAAGGTGAGTTTGTTCTTTTCCTTTTCCACAGGTCACAGCACCAGATGCTAGGTTCAAAATGTGCCTTTTGTGCATATAAAGACCATTTTTCAGATCTTTCATAAGTAACTTCATGGTACATCAGGTGAACAAAACAGCTGAAAAAACATTCATGGTCTGCAGGACGGTCATAATATACAATAGCAAGCAGAAAAGTCACATAATTCCTTTGTAATGAAAGAATGAACAGACAATAAAAGAAACGGCTTTGACCTCCCTGAATGCCATGTGATTTTAAAACAGAAATCCAAAGTCAATACACAAAATGCCTCTGAAATTGTTCAGAACAAATCATGCTCCTGCAAAAAAAAAAAAGAGGTGAACTCTTTAACCCTTTTAGTTGTCTATGCAAGTGAAAAGCCTCTGAACTGTCCATGCCTTTCTCCCTAAGGCAGTCCTTGTTAGTCCTGTTAAGCTGAAGATGCTAGTGCAGTAACAGTGAATAGCTCAGTCTGGACTGGTGTACTTACATACCACTAGTATTTTACATGGCACACCGACACACACACAGGCTTGTCTGCTACAGCCATTGTTGTAGAGCAAGCGTGCTTTTGAGGAAAGATGTTTAGCCCTTGCCTCACATTGTTCACCCACCACTGCAAATCTGTTGTAAAGACAGTAAGCTATTCCCTCACAGGAGTGATACATGAATGGTACACAACCACTGTTTTAAGTCCATTTATCTGAAAATGGTATCACCATGATGGTAGAAAGACAGATCAAATAGGTGAATGTGTCTGTACAATGCTGAATACTTTTAATGAAACCACTGGGAGAACTCTCTAAAATGCAAGCTGTTCCTGTGTCTGCTGCCCCTTCTGCCTTTTCTGCTTAAGACTGCTTTGATTCTGTTCAAACAGGCTTCAACACTCATGGCCATGGTCCATTGTTATATACTTTACAGCTCAGAAGTCAGAGGATTAGCCAATATGTTCTAACCCTGTCAGTTATAACTTTCCAGTATGACTTGAATCTTTTTTCTTGACAACCAAATTGTCTAGCAGTACAGTCTGCTACTTTGGCATTTATGCACCATCTACCTGAATCACATTTGGATCATTCTAGTCAGCTTGTAACTTATAAGCTACAAAGATATCCAGGAAGCCAGTACAGTTGTTTCGCAGCAGCCAATTTGTAGCATTAACATTGTTGGCAATGGCATGGTTTTTTTTAAATAATTCCTAGTTGAATATATTCATTAATGAGAGCTGGAGCACTGCAACATCTTTCTTAAGGGTTAAAGAGGGAGGCAGAGCACCTTGGGAGAAAAGGAATCATAGGAAGATTGAACGAAGAGTGCACATAAGTTGTAACTATCCTGGCTTTCATGCTAAAATCTTCATTCCTACTAGGCCAGGTTAGATGGGGCTTTGAGCAATCTGGTCTCTGACCTGGACATGGGTTTTGGAACTAGATGGTACTTAAGGTTCCTTCCAACCCAAACCATTGTGTGATTCTATGATTCTGTGAAAGGAATTTTTTTGTTTTGCAGTACAGAAGGGGCAGTACACTCCGCTAGAAGCATGCCAATACACAAGCCAGGTTACAGTTTTTGTTAGCATTTCTATTTTTTGTTGGGCAAATCAATGGATTGCTCTTTCCAGCACAGCTGTGTAATGCACACAAAAACAAAAGGATGTGTTTTGCCATATGTCGTTTCAACAATGCTTGTCCCAAGAAAGAGGTCAGCTAATGCTCTGCTGTCCTTTACTCTGACAGGCATTTCATTGTAGTGCTGTCCCTAAACCAACAGACTCGGGCATTCCAAAAGGATATGAAGCCCAGGTCAGCTCACAGACCAAAGCATAATCCAATCACAAGAATCCACACAGAACTCAAGAGTTGAGTTCCCCTCCACTCTGGTGCTTTTTTTGCCAGTACAAAGGAGCATTTTGGTTGTTTCATGTTTGTCTGGCTCAGAGTGACTGCCAGTGTTTGTTTAGTTAATTGCCACTGCAGCCCTTGTTGCTGTAGCTATCAGTGATGGTTTATCTCTCAACTGTCCTGTAGAACTCTGTTCTTTCCCCACTCTGAAGAAAATGAGGTGTCTTGTCAAGCTTCTTCAGACAGGAGCTTGTAGCCCAAATGGCGCTTGTTACCCTGGAAAGGAGAAAGTGCAGTATAGTCTTATCCAGGCGCATATCTTATTTGATGGGAGGGTGAAAAGAAGGTGGAGCTAGACTTTCTCTAGGGTTTTAGGCAAGAGAGAATTGACACAACTTGAAATAGCATAAATTCTATTTAAACATAAGAAAACACATTTGATTATGAGGAGAGAGATAAAGCCAGGCTGCCCAAAGAGGCTGTAGTGTCTCCCTCCTTGGAAATATTCAAAACCCAGCAGGGTTGCTGTAGCTAACCTTGCTTGAAGAAGGGATCTTGGTGTAGGCAATTGGCAGAGGTAACTTCCAGTCTCAGGTGTTCTGTGATTTTATGTTATATGTAGAGGAAGATCTCCAGGGAGATGGAGACAGCAGGGCTCTTTTCCATTAGTGTGCAAAGTACTGTGGTACAGATAAGGCACTTACTATAGGAATGTGTGGCAAGTCCCAGAGTTTTGTTTCCATGTTGTACAGGGAGCAACATCATGTCATACTGGGGAGACCTGGGCCTCTCTTTGTGCTTTCTAAAGGTGTGTTAGTTGTACCAAGAGGTGCAGAAGGTTTCAGACTTTTTCTTGCCCCCGTGTGTCACCTGCCAAGCCTTCCCTCTGGTGCTGCACAGTAGTCTGTCAGAGTAAAAGGGTCTCAGTTCTTCAGAAAACAAAAAAACATAAGCCTTTGGAAGGCCAGTAGCAACAAGGAGGTTTTAGAGGTTTATTTATTTTTTTCTGTTTTCAACTAAAACATTTTGGATTCATTCATTTCAACTAAAACAATTTTAATATTGTTAAAATTTTATTAAATTGCAAAAATAAAATATTGTTAAAATGAGAACCAGAACCATGCCTCGGAAATGAAACCTGCCAAGTGAAAGCACAGAGGTTCTCATGCAGAGCATTGGGTCCAGCCATCCTCCTGAAGCATATGAACCTTTCCACTGCATGGCTTGTTGGTGGTTGAGAGCACAGGGTCTGAATCACAAACGCCATCTCTCTGGGACGCAAGAAGGCCTGCTTGCCCCTAATATCCCTAGGGTTTTGAATGCTCAGAGGCCATACCAGCCATTCATCATCCCACTGCCCAGCTCTGACACCCCTTTCCTGGGCAATACTTTTCCACTGCCCTTTAAATATTGTGCTTCCTGCCTGGTTTGTGGTGATCAGGTCCAGGTCATAGCCATTGACACTTTGTTGCAGGTTTGGTACAGTATTGCTGAATTTGCACTTTTTGCTGCATCCTGTTTCCCCTTTTGAGAAAGGGGGAAAATTGTACTTGCTTGTAAGCCTTGTGGCTCCTTTGCTTTTTTTCCATTCCTTCATTTTGACATTTCTTGCTCAGTAAACAACATCGGTCACTGAGGCATATATTTGTACTTTAAGCACTTTCCAGTTTAATAATCATAGGAAGGCTAG